GGATTATAAGGTATATATTGGGGTTATATAGGGATTACAAGGTGTATATTGGGGTTATATAGGGATTATAAGGTATATATTGGGGTTATATAGGGATTACAAGGTATATATTGGGGTTATATAGGGATTATAAGGTATATATTGGGGTTATATAGGGAGTATATAGGTATATATTGGGGTTATATGGAGATTATATGGGAATACAGGGGTTATATTGGTATAATGGAAAAGAAAATGGAAGCTACTGTTTAGGGTTTAGGGTGTATAGTCTCCCTTGAGTAGATAGAATAGGGCTTTGGGTATAGTGTAATAAGATCCCCATATACCCCATATTTTATCTACTTAAGGGGGGTGTAAAAACCCTTCTTCCCAAGATTGCGAGTGCATTTAGGTTATCACTGTGCCCCGAACCCTAAACCCTAAACTCCGAACCTTGAACCCTGAACCCTACACCCTATTCTCAGTGCTGGGTCCCGTCCCTCCCATATCCAAACTGCCCCTCTTCTGGTTAAGGGTTATACTCCCCCTTAAGCTCTGGGTATATTATAATTATAATAAGATCCCCAGGGGGACGATAGACCTCTGGCCCCAAATTCAGCATATGAACTATGGTTTAAACTCCTCAAAGGGGTGTTGTATAGGAAATCTTATAGGGCTGCTATTTTTGGGCTTATTAAGGGGGATACTAGGAGTCTCAGACGATAACTCAGAGCCCAAAGTCTCGGGAAAGAATTGTGAAAGCCATTTTCGAAAGCTCAGGGTTGGTTGTTAGGATTTTAGGGTTTAGGGTTTAGGATTTAGGGTTTAGGGTTTAGGATTTAGGGTTTAGGGTTTAGGGCTGCGCAGTCTGTGAGACATTCATAACGGCATTAAGAAAGAATGGCAATAACTATACGTATAAGTATAAGAACAGTTTTAATAATAGCAATATGAATACTAATACCTAATAATAATAATCCTAATCATCACAGCAATATATTGCTGTATAGTAAGAATAAGAGTTTGAACCAGTTATGCCACGAGAGCGTTTGACAACCACAACTAGAGGCATCATGCCGGGTCGCTTTAGGCAGCAGTTTGTTGAAAACATAGGGTTTAGGCTGTAGGGATTTTAGCGAAAAATGTTAGTTGCCCAATAAGGGTGACCCCAATATAGACCCAAAAATAGTTTAATCCTTACTTTTGGGACCCCTAGAAAGGTACCCCTATTTTTTGGGAAGCCCTTATATAGGGATAATGAAACAGTACATGGTGACAGGTGCAGGCTGGAAGCAGGAGGCTGTTGATCAAAGCCAGGGTGATGGAACCCCCCAGGTCGCAAAATGAGCCGATTAACCACCCCTACTTCGTCATATGAGCTATAGTCGAAACTCTTTTAAGGGGGTTACATATATTATTGGGATTATCAAGGGGATACTAGAGGTTAAGTATAGCTCACATGTAGTCGCGGACGTTTCACGTTACAGATAATACATTTATCCCAGGGTTGAAATTGTTCCCATTGTGGTCTTGAAGTAGTATCAGGCCACATCAAAAAGCAGGCGGAAAGAAGATGCGAAAGTAATACCCTTGTTTGCGAAAGTTGACGATTTTCTATGAGGGAAGTTTTAATCAGTGACACTTACAGGAGTGTGTTGGAACTTGATACGGTAGTTTCTCAGAATAGTGAGACCCCAACATAAACCCAACAACAATAATCCTCATTATGCCACCCCACCCCACCCCCAAAAAATATTTATGTCCCGCAATTTTCTGAACACCTAATCTCCAGCAAATCCTTATATAACACCAGGTTCCGTTTGATTTTCCATGTGCTTTTCCATTTCCTTCTCCATTCAGGAGGAAAATTTGAACAACAAACCCTGAAAACCTAAACCCTCAGCTCGAAACCCTAAACCCTAAAATCCATCGGGAAAGGAGGGAAGCAACAAAAACACAACATTTAACCCTAAAGGAACCCTAAACATTTGCAGCTGCAGCTTCCCTTCCCTTCCCTGGAACTCCTGAAGGATCTTTCCTCCTCATGAGACACCATCTGTGCTACAGTCTGAGCTCCTTAAAGTGCGGTTATATCGGGTTTAGGGTTTAGGGTCTAAACTCTTTAAGGGGTTATACGGAAAATTGTATAGGGGTTCGGGTTTCGGAATTAGGGGTAAGGGTGTTGGATTTAAACTCCGTAAAGAGTTCAGATTCTAGCTCATCTCGTGATGGGCTTCAATGCCATGTCCATACTATGTGGGCTTCCATGCTGTCCCTCTTTGGGGCTACATAATATGTACATAAGAATCCTACTATTGTGGAGTTCATTTTGGGCCCTGAATTTGGGGAATCCCTTATATCACTGGACACTAAACCCTAAAGCCACGGACCTTGGCTCTAAACATGCTGCAGTTTGCTCAGAGCAGGAAGGACCCTAAACTTGAGTCATTCTCCCTCTCAGCAACTGTCCTTATAGAGGGCTTTCGTAATTTAGGGTTTAGGGTTTAGGGCTATTATAACTCCTGTGATCCATTGTGGTCACTGTTACTGTAAGGGGCAATGACCTAACGTTAAACCTTATAAACTCTGGCCCAGATCAGGTGGGATACTGCTGACGCTGATTGGCAACTTGTCTGCAGAGTACGTGAAAAGCACCGGGAAGCTGCTGTGAAATCTGCTGCCTCCAAAACACATGGAGGGCTGAATCCCGCTTTTCTTGTGAGGGGTCTGTGTGCCTTATGTTAATGCTAAGGACTGATCAGCAGTACTCATGCTGTCCCAAATGGGGTGTAAGTGGAGAACCCGAATCCCGACACGGCACGCAACATGCTGCTTGATGAATGGGAGGCTATGCATGGAGACCGCGGAAGTCATTCCTGCTGGGATCTATGTGTGAGTGGAAAAGTCACGAAAGAATCTGGGGAGTTCCCAAAATTACGGTCCCATTTTGGTACCCCTACATATTCGATGCCGCAATATAATATATAACCAAAAGGGCCCTTGATTATGTCTGCATCTGGACCAGGTGACCATAGAGTGTATGCGCACGGGTTCTGTAGGGTGGTTGTTTATCTGGGCTTGGGTTTAGGGGTTTAGGGTTTAGGGATTATACACTCCCCGATACAGAGTAAGAGTATATCCTCCTTGAGGTATTATGAGAAGAACACATCTTATTTGGTAGAATCACCAAGAAAGTGCTACTCTGCCGCTGTTGAAAATTGTTGCTGATGCCTCAGCTTGCTCTGCGCGCCCTATTCTTGGCTTAGCTGTGATGAACCCGTGAAGACACAGCAGACCATGCAAATTCATGAAGACCTGCACATGCTTATATATCCCATTATAGTAGTTTCCATTTTATTTTCCATTATCCCAATGTTACCCCAATATAGTCCCCATATAGCCCCAATATCCCATCTATCCCCTGAATTAATGGCTCTGTGCAGGGCTTCCATATTGTTCCATATTGTTTAGGGTTTAGGGTTTGATGGAAAGTGATGGATGTTGCTTTTGTGAGACGCAGGTTGAAGTTTAAGACCCTCACTAACTACTTGATGGTGCTATGCTGCTATAGGGGGAGTAAAGGAAGAGAATTCCTATATGATGTATTGCCTCATTCCCCCACTAAACTCACTAAACCCCAGTAAGTCTACGCAAAGGAACAAGTGGGTTTCAGCCAATGCGTGCATGGAAGCAGTACTGTTTGCTGCTTGCCCTGGCTTGGCCAGCAATAGGCGAAAAGGACCGGGCTATAACAACCTCTCTATTCAGGCGGTGGAACTTACTCGGGGTTGGCAGGGAATAAAAGGATATCATCCCTCTACCATCCCTACTCCCATACTCACCAGAAAGGGACACTCCCGTGTGCCGTTTTCGGCACGTTTTCGCAGGACGTGCCGTCCTGCCCAGCAGAGGAAGCGGCGGCGGCAGCGCTGAGTGTGGACCAGGAATGGGTGGGCACCTGTGATGTGAACAGCTGTAGACTGTGGCCATGATATGTTGGGGATATATATTGGGATGATGGAAAAGAAAATGGAAACTGCTATAAGGGGGTTATGAAGTTAGATAGGGTTTAGGGGTATATTGGGATGATGGAAAATGGAATGGAGACCAATATTAGCGATGTCAATGTTTAACATCCTTGATTTGCACCGTTTGCACGCTGCATGTCCGTCTTGGTGCAGAAGATGCAAGCTTCCTGCATGCAGGGCTGCTCCGAAGAAACGCTCTTTGCGCTGCAGCACCGTGCAAAGAAGCGTTCAGGACGCTGCTTGCCAACATGTTGGAACTCAAGTCATTCGGCCTTCCCAGAAGTCAACAATTCAGTGCAGAGCGTGGTCACGTCTCAAATTTCTGGTGCCGCTAATCCCAACATAATGCAGTCCTTACTACAAGGACCGCAAGGAAGCCATCAAAAAAAGGTATCCCAACATATTTTGAGACACTCTCCTGTTGGCAGCTCAAGTACCAGGACCCTCCTTGTACCCTTACAAAGGGGACTATGATCCCTAATGGTGGGTATTTAGGGTATAAATGGAGGGTCTAGTTAGACCGCACCAGTCGAGGTTGGACCTTTGATTATCACTTGCAGAAGACTGCAGCTTGACTGAAGCGACTGAGGGTAATATTGGGGCTATATTGGGGTCAGTGTCTGGTTTAGAAGCACTGGCGCAGGTTTACCACAGATTTGCAACTGCTCGTCTCCTTACTTCTGCTAGAGCTACGACGAAAAAATACTGTACGAGACGCATGTGCTACTGTTGAGATTGCTCTTCTGCCTGCTCCTGCTAGTGCTTGTGCTGCTGCTGCTGCCGCTGCCGCGGCTGCTGCCACCTCAGCTACCACCACCATCGGTGCGCATCTGCCTTCTGGGACGCAGAGCTGCGCCCCTGAAGGCCGCTGCTTCAAAAGACTGATATCTGCCGCAATTGTCACGCATCCACGCAACCCTGAACTCGTTGGCGCTGCCATCTTTCCAGAAGTCTAAGGTAGCTTTCTGCGCAAGAGGCTTGAGAGTATCACATTGTGCTTTCTTCCTTTGTGTTCTAGTACATCACGTCTTTCTGCCTTCACCTGTTATGGTGACCACTGCCGCCACCGCGTCCATGCCCCGCCGGCGAACGCGATGACAACCATGCCTGTAGCGGCTACGGAGCAGACGCGATTTCCATGATGGCTTGAAAACAGGAATGCTGCACTTCACCTTCTCTACAGTGTTCGCCAGCGTTCTCTGTCCTTTTGTGCAAGTTGCTTTCTTCTTGGTGCTATCGACAAAGAAGTGCGAGGAGAGCACGAAAGCACCCCGCACCCTATACTCCCTTATAGGTCTCCCTTATGATCCACATACATATTCCTGGAGTCCCCAAATTACCCTTGGTTGGAGCACCCCCCCAAGGTGACGCTCACAGGTATTCGCAATGGGATTCTGGATGATGTCGTGAACACCCTGAAGGAAGCCTACGAGCATGTCAAGGACTTCCTAACTTCCTGGTGTCAGGGTGACCACAGGACAATTGAGCTAGAGTCTAAACTCCTTAAAAAGGGGTTATATAGGGATTATATAGGGAACTACTACAGGGGTTATTGAGGGGGATACTAGGAGTTTAGACTATAGCTCAATTGTTGTGACCGTATTCTGGTTGCAACGCCATTGATGACTGGTAAATGGCTACAACAACAATAAAAGCTGTGTGTTTGACCAGAAAGCCCTGGACCTTAAACATGCCAACAGCTTGCCAGGACTGTCTTGATGAGAGTATTGTGATGAGATTCGCAATGTGGATTAGATTTGTCGTGGACGTGGATCAGTGCACCTACGAGGCGTCCGTAAATTCTGGCAGCTCGCAGCTCATCGTGTCCGCATGCGGAAGCATGGCTTCAAGGGAGAAGTTGCAACCATCCCCAAAACCGAGATTTCTTTTGGCCCAAACTATGACCACAGATAGTTCCTTAAGAATACTATCAAGTATATACACTGCGTGTCCATTTAGGGAGACCGTAAAATGACATCTTACGACGCGTGGGCGTTTCTCTACATAATCCCAAAGTCCAGTAAGGAACCTCCTTATGTCCTTATATCCCCTATAGAATTCTTTGGGGTTCTTAGGGTACCCCCAGTTTGAGAAGCCCTGGACCATGGTCTTGGTCTAAGGTCACTTGCCGCTTACAGCAACTCTATTTCGTGGACCTCATGTTGACTATCAGAACAACGGCTTTACCTTCTCCTCGTGTGCACTGGGAGTGGCTTGTGCCGATCTGCGATTTGAAAACAAGGCCTGCAATAAATGTGGCCTATGCCGTACCTAGACCCTCCAGCTACCCTCTACTGGGGCCTAAGTACCCCCTATTGGGGGCCATATATCCCCACTTAAGGGCACTACTGTAGGAGGATCTAGGTACTTACTCTACAGTTTGTGAAGGCTCGTACAAGTGTGCTTGACAACCTGATGCTCCAAGGCCAGCGATTGTCAGTTTGACGTTTGGGATATCAAGGTCAAGGCAAGAACCGAGAATGTCGCAGCTAGGCAGAGAGGGGGCTTCCTCCTGGAACTTACCTTGGGCTTAAGGATTTTATCCCCAATATTATCCCCAATAACGGAGAATCAAATGGAAAAGAACATGGGAAATGAAATGGAAAGTGAGGGTATATAGAGGTTGCCCTTGGCTAGCTATAGGAATGAAGGACTGATTGACTGACAGACTGACTGACTGACTGACTGAATGAATGAATGAATGAATGAATGAATGGATCCTTATAGTAGTCCCTATATAACACATTGTAGTAGTTTCCATCTTCTTGTCCATTCCTTCATTCCCAGCTAACCAAGGGTAAGGGGGAGTGGCGAACCTGCACCAGAAAGTACTTTTGTCTTCCCTCCTGAGGCAGACATCTCAACATCGTGGGTCACCATTCTGTCCAACGTAACCCTGCGTGAGCAAGACGCTCAGAGTTTCGGCTGGTAGCCGCCAGGCAAAGTCCTTGGCGACCAAAGCGCTGGGCTTTGAGCAAGTGCGACAACAGGGACAGATTCTTCGCATCAGTGTTCATGACGAGAGCCTTAAGTCTCTGGCTCGTTTTTCTCTACAGCTTCTTCACAGGGCACACAGTGAAGCCCTCTGCAGTCACAGAATTTACTGCAAGACCGGCAAGTGAACTCTGAATTTCGTCTTTCTAAGCCCAGGACTAGAACTCAACATCCTTGACCGCACTAAATGGGGAATTCCTGAAATTAGGGGTACCGTTTTGGGGTTCCTATACCTAGGATCGCAGTATCTGGCATCTATATTGTGTTCCCCACTGTGAAGTAAAGTTTTGACCTCCCATTCTTTCTGGGAGTTCCGCGGTTCCTTCGCAGAGGCCGGGTGGCTTTGTTGTAGGCGACTCAAGTTTGGAAGTGATCCAACCTGACAAATTCATGGCTGACGCTCTGTGTGGGTGGAAAGATCTTGGCCCAAACTAGTGCATTTCACACTTTCATGCACAAAGATCAAGCCGTTGTACGGCTTCAAATGGCGTGTTACTCGTCATTGTAGAGCAGGATCGTCTCGAAGGAAGCACAGATACCTAGCTCCACTAGGTTCCCTATCCTGTTTATCCTGGTAGCAGTGTCATATAACCTCGCTGGCTACGGTGGAGGGTGAGAGGGACGCCCAAGCCAACAGAAGAGATGCCCGACAGAGTCCATTTCTTTTTGAGTAAAGTAGTTCAAAGGAAGAATGCGAGCTTACTTGGTTCAACCACCTAAAAGAGGTGCTTAGCTGGACAATTCTGTCGAATTTTCGCGCTGGCGGCAAGGCGCGACGAACCCGTGCCGACGAAGCTTGGCAGAGCTCCGAGTGATGAGGCCATTACCGGTCCATCCGTGTGCAACTTTGCTAATCTCACCGCCAGCTGCTACAAGGGGTCGGGTTATCTCACGTCGGCTGGGTTTTTACACGTCGAGCAGCATCCACACTGGGGGACCCAGTTCAAAAGCATTTACTAGAACAGATGTCATGCAAAAGCAATTGTTGCAACTGTGCGGTTTCTACAGCGTCTACAGGGTTTCAGCTCATGATTGCATGACACGATTACAAAGAGCCATGAAGCAAGCACGGCTCACGTCAGGTTTGGGTTTACCCCGTTCTTGTGGGCGGTGGAAGAAGGTCGCAACCAGCAGCTACTGCCACTGGTCCCAATCAGTGTCAAGGGTTTCAGGCACTGAAAGTGTAGTTTAGAATAAGAAGTAATAATTTGTTGTCCTTCGGAACTCTACGCGCATAGCTTGTATGACGACTTTGCGGGTTCTTAGTCACCCTTATGTAAGCCATAGTCTAAACTCCTAGCATCCCCCTTAATAACCCCTATAGTAGTTCCCTATACAGTCCCCTATATAACACTCTTTAAAGAGTTTAGACCATAGCTCATGTATGCAACCCTAAACCCTAAACCCTCGTATGCAACGGGACTTCGCGGTGGTCTTGATAGGCTTGCTTCTGGAATGGGGGCCTCCGGTCTGAAACGGGAAGCCCGCTACCCTGAGCCCTGCAACGTTAGGAGAGAGGGTTTAGGTTATGTACTGTAGGGGTTATATAAGGATGATGGAAAAGAAAATGGAAACTACTGTAGTATATAGGGTTATATAGAGGATAGGGCTTGGGACGCTGCAAGGACAGGAACTTGTTGCGATAGCAAACATTGTCCTGTAGCGGTCATCTTGAAATCCCCGCCAAACCACTTATTTGTCGCTAATTCCAACCAGAACCATGGCCTGAAGAGTCGATGAACATATCGCTCATTGAGGTTAGCAGTTGTCAGTATTAGACTGTAGTTTTCAATTTACGATGAATTGGATCCTCTCCGTGGCGGTGAATCAGGCAACCTGTCACTAAGCAGGGAGGATGATGATCTTGCCGCACTTAAGAAATCTACATTGCCAGACAGGTGTCTTAGCTTTTCTTTTTATTTCGAATCAGTGTACCGCGCATGGCTGATTCCCGGGATGAAGCCTCGAACAGTAGCATGCAAAACAGCGCAGATGTAAGAAAAACAGCGGAAGGAACTCGTGAAGTACGAGAATTGCTGCCTCCGCGGGGACGTCAGAAAGCGGCTCCTCAAAGCCCTGCAACTTTTTCCACAAAGCCGTCTTCTACAAGGCCGTATCAGCTTCTTCCAGTTTCCCAAAAGCAGCTTAGACATCATGGGGTTGCCGTAGGATCAGCAAGAGCATGCAGCTGGTTTGTAAGGGTTTGGTTTTCGAATTTGCCAGGGGACCTTCATAATAGCCCCTTTTTTTTGCCGGGCCTCTTGCGGTCTACAATGCTGCGCAAGCGAGCTGAAGCCTTCCAACTTAGCTGCGAGACTCAGGCCTCAACAGGCAATGGGGTCGAGGGCGAGCCCAGAGTCAACCCCGGTTGAGAAGCTTCCCACACACATTCGCGCAGGAAGGGAAGGCCCGCTGACGAAGACCAGGGCAGGCGTGCTGCTTGGGTTTGCCCAAGGCTGTTGGTGATCAAATTCCTTGCTATACCCCGCACTTGCAATAAGAAGTAAGGGTAGCAATTTCAGCTGCCGCTGGACATCAATCCAAAATCTTGTTCCAACTACGCCGACGCTCCAGCTGTCAGAGGTCGTACCAGGTCGTACCATCGCATCACGCTTGTTGTTGCTCTCCTTTCAGCTCTACAACGCGACAGGCGTAACAAGCTCTGTTTCGATGGAAGATCTCAGAAGCAGATGCAAGTCTCTGTCGGGTAGGGCGGGCTGTGGAGGCAACTCTCTCATGGGCTCGTGGAATGGAACGTCAGGGTCTGGCAGGTCAATGCAACTCCTCAACACGTCACCCCCATGCGACAGGGAAGATCCTCCAAAATCTCCAAAGGTTCGAAATTTGATGGTTAAGCTTCGTTACCATTAGGGAGGCGAGGAAATGTACTGGCCGCTGGCAATGTCATAAGATGGCGCTTAAGGTCTACCACTGCAAATTGCTGCGCTCGTTCTCCTCGCCCGCTCTCTGCTGCTGTAGGTGCAAGGCAGACATCCGAAACACCAAGGCCAAGCCGTCCCTCGGCCAAGCAACGCGGGCTGAGGTGATTATTCTGTGCGGCATCGGGTTTTGGCGTCTCGGCTTGTCTACATTTAGAGGAGGCAAGAAGGAGAAGGTATGAACAGGTCCAGCCTGAAGCAGTAATGAAGCAGGCCTAGGGCTCTCACGATCCTGACACTGTCTAGCTGCAACAGTTTGACCCTCATAGAGCAACACTGCTGACCCTCATCAAGCAACATCCCGAAGCCAGAATCTTGTTTGAATGTCCAGGTTAACATACTCTAGCACTCAGGTGCAACGTTCCTGACAGCACGGACGAGCCCGTGGAGGACTGCCCTATGATGTAGTGACTGACGCTGGGGCCAAAGCAAGTTAGGCTATAGCCTTCAGTTTACCAGAGGGTTGCGATCAACTCTCACTAGAAATCAATGCCCTCATACTGGTCGCAATGTCCCAAAAGCATAGACACAGCAAATGACACTACCTGCAGAACTACAGCCCGGCCCAACCCCAAATTGTGTCCTGAACTTTCAACCTTGACTGGGCTCACGTCCATCTCTTCACGCTGCGAATTTCAATAGCTGCTGCGATTCAGATGCGGCGCCACCAGCGTGCAAAAAGGAAGTCCTCTCCCTGGGTCCGCAGTGCGTCCCCCCTCTTGCTGGTAGCTAGTTGGGACTCCAGGGGCGGCACTAAGGATGGTAGGGTTTCTTTTGTGTGTGCGGTTTTTTATATCCATCCGATGAGCACCCACACTAGCTTGCCTGAGGGGGGCACTGCGGGGCGACAGTGCCGGTTTCTTCAGTCTCGTCCTTTCCATGGCTGTCGCGCCGGCCAAGTTACTCACTGCGCTCTTTTGCGCTCACCAGGCAGTCCGATACGCTAGCTATTTTCCCATTCATGTCCCTCCCTGTTGTGGGGTCGTTTTGGGCCCGGTCGTTTTGGAACTATTAGACATTGACGCAAGCTGCGGTGACAGCCCCGTCGTCCGGCGATTATGGCCTCCCTCTCCTTTGCCTCCTCCGACTTGGACTTCGGACAACGTGCTCTCCACCTTGGTCTAGCTGGGGCGGAATGGGTGTTTGGAGGGTGGATGGATGCCTAGCCCCGGTCGCAGCAGTAGACCATGCTCTCCTCAAGCACCTCGCGGAGACCATTGGGAGCGAGCCTCCGGTATCGCGCGTGGTCGAAGCCAGCTCAATGGCTTTCGGCCACGGTTGCGGGAGGAGCGTGAGCATCGGCATCTCCGCAGGCTCTCCCCTCAACATCCTCGCGTGGGCCATCAAGTTGCTGATTGAGGACGACCTGTCAGCGTGCGCCGTCGGTCCCGCAGCCCTATTAACCGGAGACCAACGCCTCGGTGCTTCATGGCCAACGTGGAAGCCGACCTCTCGGCACTTGCAAAGAAGCTTGGCACCATGGAAGTGGCTTTTCGTTCGCGCGATTCTTCACAGGTTGGAGGCCATCACAGTAAGACATAATTAGTGAAGCACCTCAGCGTCAGACCCAGTTCGTTGCATGTTGCAATTTGCGGTTGCGCTTGGAACGGTCGAACCCTGAGGGGCACGGTCCGTACTCCTGTGTTGACACCTCAAAAGTGTATAATTTCCTTGACATAGATAGGGATTAGGAGTTTATAGCCCCTATTGCGATTGTCTGCTCTTTCCAGCATCTTTTCAGCCTGTCCGCGACTCCAACTCCAAGCTTTGAAGTATTTAGAAGTTGTCTTTGTGCGGGGCCTTGGAACCCGAGTGCCAAGGAGTTTCCAAAGCTTCCTCCAACAACTGGGGGCCTGGTGCCAATGGAAGTTGCTGATGTTGCTCCCATGTTGCCGGTCCAGTTTCTAGAGTTTTTCTGTCATATTATTCCTCTTCAGCGACTCCTTTGCGACGGCGGTCCTCATCACAGACTCTACTGTTAAGATGGCTTTTCGTGCAG